TAAGACTCCATTCAAAGACGAATGTTCCTAAGTATGAGATATTGTAACACTCTAGAAGTTCTAAAGTCCAAATCAGATGTTGTAAGCCAGGAAATTTAAGACTGCAGAAATTTTGGGATTTACGAACACCATCTATGGGCCAAAAATGGAACCTCAAACCGTATATGGGATCCGTAAATCAACTTCGGAGATTGGAAATTTAACCTATGTTTTACGAGCAAGGACCACATGTTGTAGATGCTTTTACAGGTGGGCTCGTGGATCAAAGTCCTGAAACTTGATTTTTGACTGACTTTTACAGCCCACATCTACAGCTCATAAATGGAATTACGAACCATAAATGGGTCTCATAGATCAAACTTCAGAAACCCAGTATTTAGGCCTGATTTCTACGAGAGGAATCTACGGCCCATAGTTCAATCCACGGACCTTAGATGGCCCTCGCAGAAGTTGCCGATAGTTTTTACTTTAGGGTTGTTTTAAACTTTCCCCACTATTCCAAGAGGGATTAAGCGGAACTTAGTCGACCTAAACCCCCCCTCCTCCCATTCACGCCCAACACCCAAAGATTAGAATCAATACGTCTCAACTCCTCTCAAGCAAGAACTAGGGTTCTTGATCTTCAAGCTTCAGTTCAAGGAATCAAACTAGGGTCTCCATTCCAAGTGTGGAATTTCATCAATGGATATGTTTTCACCAATAGAGTCCCAAAGAAACCCGAGTTTTTCAGATAATGAATTCTATAGAAGTTAGGGTTCTTATGAAAGCATAATTTTCACTTTATTTTCGGTTCTTCTTCTTGGATAGTTTGATTATGCATATATAGATGTTCAGGATCATTAACAAACACTTCGTTGAGATCACGCATTTCGTTAGCTTTTGGTGAGGCCTCTTTGCTTTCGGAGGACTAATTTTATTGCTTTAGTAGTATTTTAAAGTAGTCATGGGTCTTGTCCCGACACCTATCTTTAAACAGTAGAGGCTTCATAGACAAATAGAGTTAGAGAGCCATTTCAGTTTTCTTCTTATATGTTTTGACAAATTTTATCATTATTTTCATACAGCTTTTGAGATTTAGTTTATTGTTTTAAAAGCTCATCACTTAAAGCTTCATGATTTATGTGTTTAGTCTTCCACTTAGTAGTCAGACCAAGGGTTCGCTTGGGGACTAGAAATGATTTTCGAGTGTCGGCCACGTCCAGGGTGTAGGCTCGGGGAGTGACAGTTACTTAGCACCGAGCAAATTTAGGGATGAAGGCTCATCCGTTAGTTAGGACTAAAACCTTTTTTGTAGCAATCTCTACGTCCCAAAACTACGTGCCACCGAAGAATTATAAGGGCCACCCGTCAGACCATGACTTGACTCCTTAGTCCTTTATGGACATCAACTTAGTGGTACCACATTAGCACAAATCACCTTTTATACCCTGCAAGGTATATTGGGCCCTCTTTGATGGGATTATAACATTAAACTCCGTTAGTTATTAGTATCTCCCACAGTCCAGTCTCAAATGTTGCATGACCTTGTAAGTCAGTTATCCCCGTTTTTAGCATCTATCAGTTACATGTTTTACTACTCGGTCATTTCACCTACTCAATACATTCAAAGTACTGACTGCATACTCTTCGCGCTATGTTGTTTTATAATATAGGTTCAAACGTTTAGCATTCGGCATGCGGTTAGTACAACTTCCGATCAGCTCAGCAACACATTTGGTGAGTCCTCATCTTTCGAGGACAACCTTTATATTTCTTTCAATTATTAAATCTTTTAGTTTTTCAGACAATTAGAGTTAGTTGGGGCTTGTCCTAGAAACTCATCTTACTAAAGGCTTCCAAATAGACAGTCAGATAGACAAGTATTTAAATTTTATATTCCAGACCACTCAGCTATTTCAGTTTAGCTTTTACATTCAGTAAAGTTATTATTTACATAAATCATAGTGTCGTGCTAGGCCATGGGTTAGTTTGGGTCACTTGTGGCTCTAAGCACCGTGTTACGACTAGGAGGTAGTCTCGAGTCGTGACAGATGAAAATTTGACCAACCAGAAGGAGAGACGGAGGATTTCCCAACATGTATATAGTGCACTGTTTGGAAAGAGAGAAACCAAAGGGGTTTTGAAAACAAGCACCGCAACATCTAGAAGCTGAAGATGAAATGCATAGTCGCTCATTATTTTGGTGTAAACAGGAATGTTTAATAGAAGCAAAAGATATTTTTGATGTTTAAGACATCAGTAAGAAGAAACGTTGATAGGAAGGGTTTCTTTTATTTGTAATTGTTTATTATTTTTGGGGGACTAAACAGTTTTTATAGTATATGTCTATCAAAAAAGAAAAATGACCAGCTCTACAACTGTTATTCAACTTTAGTCCTCTGCATTTAACTTATCAAGAAAAACAATTAAATCCCATGCATTTTCCCGTAATCTCATCAGATAGGTCATTATAAAATAAAATGCTTAAGAGTTAAGACAGTAACTTCATTAGAATAACAACCAGCTTCTTTTACGGGTGAATAAAGGCACCAACAACTGACATTCAAGGACTGTGTGATGACCTGTTGTAGAGATTTTCATATCTAATATCAATAGAAGTGATCACCTGTTAACTGTCCACAATTACCCAAAATTTCAAGCAACAGTATCCCAAAACATCATTTTAGATGAAATTAGCTTGAATGAAGTTTGCCAACCTTGATAATATGTTGTTGAGTAATGGCTTCATCCAACCAGATAGAGAGTAATTCTCTGAGAAGGCTACCATCATTTTTATCTTTAGTTAACATTACCTAAGGGAAACAGCCTGTGTCACTACTTGTCCTTTCTTCTCAATAAATTTTTCAGAAAATTGGCGTTCTGTTGAGGCAAGTTGTGAATTACGAAAGTAAAACAGAAATGATGAGTAAAACCTAGAAAAGGAGGAAGCATCCAGATAACAAATTCTCATATTCCTTATTTATATTTTGTTGCAAAGAAGTTTGAGCAGTAGATTTGGAGCCATGAGTCAAAGCCAGCCAGAGAGACAAGACAAGAAACAATGAGTAAACCAAGAGTCCATGAGTAAAAATTAGAATCCGGAGAAAACAATTTCTCATGATCTTGCTATGGAAACAATATTAGAACCAACTCTACAAACATAAGCACAAGATACAGTTGCATAGGGGACATCCTTTATCCAATAGAATATAGACTTGCAACAACTGGAAATACAAGAGCATTCATGGGGAACAAATTAATGCAGCTGAACAAGGAAATTAACTAGACGCTAGAGAACACTAATTACCACCAAACCTTGAAAATTAATCAGTGACATGGTTTGACAATGAAACTAACATATGTAAATGTTATTATTATAAATCAGGGTTTCCTCAACTAAAGAGTTATTTCTCAACAACTTTGCAAAAAAGAAAGTGAAACAATTTTCAGTTTGATATGTTTAATTTGCCCATATATAGAAACAACAACTACATGCTCAGTGTAGTCTCACAAGTAAGGTTTGTCGAAAGTAAGATGTACACAAACCTTAACCCTACCTTTGTGGGGTAGACAGATTGTAAAGAGAAGTTATTGAAGCAGGGAAAATGTGATAGCAAAATAGCAAGATACAAAATAAATACAAATAGTATCACACATTGATAAAGAAACTAAGCAGTTACTAACTACTACTACTAACAGACGGGGAAGGGATGATGCTAGCCCCTGTCTCTCCCTCATAAAGTGCGGCAACACTTGGTTAGCTACTAACTGTCTACTCTCATTATCGACCTCCACACCTTCCTATTTAGGTTCATGTCCTAAGTAAGCTTAAGTTGAGTCAGGTCCTATCTAATCACCCACCCCAATTCTTTTTCGGCCTACCTTTACCTCTCCTAACTCCTACTATAGCCAACCTCTCAGACCTCCTTACTAGCTCATCCGCACATCTCCTCTTCACAAGTCAGAATCATCTCAGTTTCGCTTCTCACATCTTGTTTGCCATGGGGGCCACTCACACCTTATCCCTTATTACTTTTTTCTAATAATATCTCTTCTAGTATGCCCACACATCTATCTGAGTATCCTCATCTCCGCTACATTCATCTTTTGAACGTGGACATTCTTGATTGGCCAACACTTTGTCCCATACAACAATATCGTCTAACCACCACTCTATAGAATTTACACTTAATTTTTGGCTGTACATACAGTACCCTCAATGCAAGCCTCCATTTTCACCCACGACACTCCTATACAATGTGCGATATCATCATCAATCACCCTGTCTCCTTGGTTTATGGACCCGAGATACTTGAAGCTCCATTTCTTGGGTATGATTTATGTATTGATCTTCACTCCCACCTATGTCTCATTTGTTACGTCATTAAACTTGCACTCCAAGTACTTTGTTCTAGTCATCCTTTACCTAAAACTTTTAGACTCTAGGATTTGATTTGACCATATATGTGAGCTAGATTTCCAAAATGATTTTGCAAGCGGTAGAAGTTGTTCAACTTGACCAAGATAATAATGGAGAAGAAGTTGTGAGGAAGGATTGAATGAATGTTTTTTTCCAATGTTCTAAAGGAACCATTTAATCCACAAAAAGAGGGATCAAATCCCACCTATCCCCTCTCATTTTCCTTCTTCTTTAGGGCACCTCTATAGAGGACTCCGTTAAAGATTGTTGTTATTTTCCTTCCAACCTCCTTGCCTCCAAACCCCTCAAGTCCAATTTTTCCTTGCCCTTTACAGATCTTAATTTCTGCTTCTTTGTGCATTTTAGGTGCCAATGTTTAGTCTACAATATAGAACCATATACACAATCTTGCCAGACTATTACAAGTGTTGGTATGCGACGCAACAAGAAAATCCCTTACAAAATTATTTATTACATGAAGGGCTCACTCACATTTTACACAACAAATCAATATTGACCCTCAGTGAAGAGAGAACCATACAACTTGATAAAACAAAATCTTAAGACAATTTAGAAAAACAGAATGTAACTTGAAAATCACCTGTCTCAGAGATGGTCCTCCACACAAGGCCAAACCATTGTCCCGGCAAGAATGAAGAGTTTCAAACTGTTTGATATCAAGCTTCTTGTTAATGAACCCAACTTGAAAGTAAATACTCCCAGACGATGGCAAATCCACTCGGATCTCATTCACATTTAACCACAACAAGAATCTCTTAACTTCAATTCCTTCTAAATCAGTAATCGACCCAAGACTCAGCTTCCCAGTAACCTTATCAGCGTAATAAACCAAATATTCAAACTCCACATAACAAGGCTTCTCCAGTAAAACTTCAAATGTTCCATCATCGGAAAGAGAGTAAGATTTTACAGAGCTTGGTAAAAGCCCTGGAGGAAGGTTGAATTTAGTGAGGATTTCGTATACTGTTGTATTGGGGTTAGTGGGTAGATTGAGAGATAGGGAAGACGGAGATGAGAGGAGGAGAAGAAGAATAGTCAATTGGATTCTTGGATTGAAAACCCCCATTGTTCTTGATGCCTCCAGAGAAAGAGGAGGAGTTGGAGGGGATATATACTGCAAGTGATTGGTTGTACGTAACTGTTAAATAGTTGTACTATGATTACACCGTTGGCTGCTTCCTAGAAATTGAACGTTATCAAAATGTGGTTACTTTCAAAATTTCATATCGAACTTGTTAACTAATATGAGATAACTATTTTTACCTGGAAAATTAAATTAATTCATTTAAAAATTTATTAACTTTAGCCGTAAAGTAGCTCATGTGATGAAAGACTTTGATATTTATTTGATGTAAGTTCTGAAAATATATCTTAGAGCATTTTATTCATATTTGAACTCCATTGAAATAGAAATGTAAAATACCGTCGTGATGAAGGAGATCTTCCTAAACTAAATTTGTTTCGATAATTAGTTGAGAACCTAAATTATTTTATTATTACTCGACATGGTATATCTTTTGCAATTCAACAAATCAGACAACTCATGGAGATTCATCGTCATCTACATTTGGTAGTGGTTCATCGCATCATTTGATATCTACCAAAACTACATACTTATGCATTATTCTTTCTTAATAATTCTTCTATTCGATTTAATATGTTTAGTGATTCTAATTGGACTAGTTGTTTCGATACTTGCTACTTTGTCACGACTTGATGCATATATTTGGGAGATTTCTTGATTTTTAGAAGATCAAACAAGCAATATAGTATTTCAAATTTTTCAACCAAATCTGAATATCAAACAATGTCTATAACTTTGAGATTTTTAAACTTTGTGGTATACTGATAGAAATTAGATTTTCTTAATCTAGCCCTACTCCTCTTTACGCTAACAATATATTTGTCATTCGGATTGATACAATCTAGTTTATAATGAAAGAATCAAACATATTGAGGTGAACTATCATTCTATTAGAAAATTTGTAGATGAAAGAGTTGTTACCCTTCAACATGTGTTCAATGATCTTCAGATAGTTGATGTTTTTACAAAATCAATGACGCACCAACTTATCTATTTCTAGTAGGCAAATTAATACATTTTGATCCACCAACATCAATTCGAAGGAGGATATTAGCATGATGGATAGATCGTAGAATATCATGTATATATTACATTAAGATATTCTAGATACTTCATTGTGTGTAGAATATTGTGCAGCATTATATGTAAAATATATTCTAGATACTACATTTAGTGTAGGATATTGTGTAACATTAGTTATAATATATTTTAGATACTACATTTAGGGCAATTGTATTTTTAACCATGTTAATATGTGTATTAAAAGCCTTTGCATTTCTAATACTATGAATTTTCATGTATTAGTAATACACATCTCAATATACAATAGACATGAAAAAGTATACAAACAATATACTAATATACGAAGTTAATACATGCATTATTTTTACTAATACACTCTACCAAATAATTCATTTTTATTGTGTATTGAAGTGTATATTACTAATACCATAAATTTTCATGTATTAGTAATACAAAAAATTTCAATACGTGTATTAAATTAATTAATGACATAACTACCCCTCAAGTCTCTCAAGACATTTCCCATTTCCAAAACTAAAGAGGGTGCATGATATTATTTATTTATAAACAAACACTTTTTTTGTATAAAGGTTATGTAAGACACAGGAAAAAAACAACTTTCATATTTAGCAAACATAAAAATCATATTTGTATGCTATAACTATAGTTTGCATAACTGCGCTATGTTTGCTATGGAGCATCAGATTGTATAAATCGATGGGGGCATCAGATTTGTATAAAATCGTTGGTAGCCTCTCATTTGTATAGCCTCTCGTTTGTATATATCGTTGGCAGCCTCTCAATTCAATTTTATGTGTTTGTATATCTGCATAAAATTTGAATTTGTATACAATTGAATTGAAATAAAACGTTTGTATATCAAATCTCTCTCCCTCTCTCGCTTTATACAAACACAAATTATACATTATATTTTGTATATTCTGTGTTTGTATAAAGCGAGAAAGAGAGAAAGACAAAACAGAACTGGACAGAGGAAGATTTGTATTGTATAATTATAAGTGTATAGGACGAAGATATATGTATTTGCATGTGTATATACAATTTTCTCTCGCTTTATACAAACAGAAATGCAATTTATACATTTGTGTTTGTATAAAGTGAGAGAGGCGAGGGAGAGACTGACGAGCGAGAGAGGGAGAGTAGCAAGCGAGAATTTCAGGGAGAGCGGCGAATGACAACAGTTTGCTACGAGTTACAATCAAATCAAACTGTGATTATAACATTTAATTTGAATTAATAGTTTGCTATTATATACAATTTTCCCATAATAATTAGGGGTGTAAATGCTACGGTTTGATAAGTTATTTTTAAAAAATTATACCATCTCAATTTTTCGGGTATTTTATAATATATAACCAAATTTAGACTTTTTAAAATCATCTCAATCATATTGGTCTCTTTTCGGTATTGGTATGGTTCGGTTAATTTCATTTTTTTTTTTACTTTTAAAATATCACCTCAAATATACTATTATTAATATATTTCTTTCACAAATATGTTCTTGAAGAAACACGTTAATTCTTCACCAAAAAGACAAGGATATAAAATCGTGTTGCCGTATTGTTTGATCTTAAATATTTAATAGGAGTGTTTGGATAGGTTTTGTTGTATTGTTTGATAGAGTATCTATTACAGTATCTTTTAATTTTAAACTTAATTAAGTAAAAGGGAACTTTCGCATATAGTCACTCAAAAATAGCTTAATTATGCTGCATAACCATAGTTTGCTAATTACAATTCGTAGCTACATGTTATAGGGAGGAGAGTGGTGAGCGAGATTGGGAGAGACAAAAGAGAGGCGAGCGAGAGAGGGCAAAGAGTGGAGAGAGGTGAATTGTATATGTATATCGGTTAGATACTTGTATATATGTAAACTGGTAATACATATGTATTTGTATATCTGGTGAGCAAGATTGAAAGAGGGAGGAGAGAGGCGAGCGATAATTTGCGTCTCGTTTGTATAATTTGCGGATTTTTGCATAATTGAGTAATATAAAGTCTGGAATTATACAAATATGATAAAACTCAAAATAACGAATTGATACAAACATAAACATATGACCTTTAAATAATTATACAAATTATATTATACAAATTACATTATATAAATTATATTATACAAAATCCGAAACTACACGTTTATACAAATTTTAAAAAGTTATACACAAAAAGATTGAATGTATATGGTGATAAAATTGAAAAATCAAAGGAAATCACGTCATATACAAGTACAAACCATCGTATACAAGTACAAATCAAATGAAGAATTGTTAGTTGCGAATTATACAAACGTGGTGAATTATACAAACATGGCTAATTAAACAAATTCGAAGTCAGGCCACGTAATTAATGGTTAATGTTAGTCGCGAGTGGTAATTATAGAAAACTATAGCTATGATGATTAATTAAGTAGTATAAGTTTGCTTAACTGCGTAATTTTCCCTTAAAAGGCTACTTAAAGAGCAAAGACCCAAAGTCGTCTAGTCACCAGAGGCCTTGGGCCTAAGTTATATTTATATTTGAAAAATGTTATAAAATATATTTATATATTAAATTTAACATATTGTTAATATGTAGAATATATTTACATACATGTAAGATTATTTGGTTCGGTTAAATTTTTTTCAATTTTTTCATAAATTATAAAGACCATCCCAATTGTTAAGGACAGTTATCCACTTAAATAAAAGTCCACAATTTTATTGAAAAAATAGCATAATTTGATTCAGTTCGATCAATTTTTCATATTCTTTTGACACCCCTACTAATAATTTCAGGTTAGTACTACTTTTCACCGTGCCTTAATTTTGTAATTGTTGTCTTATTTTACTTTGTGCAATGAGATATTTGTAAATAATTAAAAAAAAAACAATTCTCACTATAAATTTTTCAAAACTAGGATGGAAAATGGAGCAGAGCAGGATGGTTACGGATCAAACCCACATAAACCAGCAAAGAATTCAACCCACCCTACCTCACGTAACAACTAGAGTCTGATCAAGTAATCATTCGGAACGACTCATTGATGACACAACTTTAACACAAATTGAACTGAAGCCAAGAGATATAAAGAAAATATTTCTAACAGAAATTAAATATAGAAACTTCAATTGCATGATGCAAATCTCAATTTAGATTTATTGACATGTATAATATCCATAGAAAGTGATCAAACACAAAAAATTATGACCTGGGTTTTCCAAATATTCATATCAACAGCTAATATTAGCCTAATAATTTAAAATATATATAAAAAAAAAAGGTAGAAAAATTAGAGCTTTTACAGAAAAAAAATAACACAACAGCACTAATTAATTGCTTATTAACGGAGAAGCATTACATTAAAATAACGAGGAAATATGACAGGGAAATAGCATAATAAATAAAAGAAGACAACCCGCCCTACACCCGCATAACATCAAAACTGCACCGCCTCATTGCCATGCCTAATCAAAACCAGCTGACATTAATATGTGCAAAGTTCTGAATATTCCAAGTAAGAGACCACCAAGAAGACATTTCCTCAAGGCCAGTCCATGAAAAACAACCCTTCTTCAGATCCAAGCCATGCACCTTGGATCTGTTTTCCCATTCCTAGGAGACCTGTCAGAAATTGGACATTCTGTATTACAGGACAGAAAACATGTATTACTGGAGGGATATGGACCAAGCAAAGGCGGGTAATACCTTCAGTTTTTGGCCAGCGTACAACTGAGGGGATCGAATCCATGAATTTATCATCGAATAGCAGTTCGCCAGATTTGATACTCCATAGCCGCAAATGATAGTCCTCTCCACCTAACAAGAGTGTCTTTTAGCAGGTGGTTCACATTTTTCTATTGTACTGAGAAACAAAATACAAGCGTCAATAAAGCCATAGTTACCTGACATGACCATTATCTCTGATGGGTCAACTCCAAGCTGTATCCGACTATGAGAATTTTTATTTCCCTCGTATGATTGAATTGCACCCCTCATTAGACGAAGATCATAAAGCTTTATCTGGAAATATGCCAATGTTACAAATAATCCAGATGTACAAGACAAGACTAAT